CTCTCTCTCTCTCTCTCTCTCTCTCTCTCTCTCTCTCTCTCTCTCTCTTTCTCTCTCTCTCTCACCCCACTCTCCCCCTCTCTCTTGCTGAAAATAATAGAAGTAAGAGATAGACCAAGAATAACAGCAGACTTGTTGGACCTGCCAATGTACTGAAGTGCTCAAGCTGTCTGATTTCCAGGCAGTCCGATATTTTGCCATCAATAATTAATTGTGAACTTTATTCAAACGGACATAGCGTTATTCTGCCCTGTAATCGTTGTCTTTGGTTTCCAAACGGTTGAAATGAGGTCAGTGAGTTAGACCTTTTTTTTTTTTGTTAGAATATCTGGTCGTTTCGTTATCGAGATCGGTATGCCTACTTCAAAAATTTGCAGAGCTAAACGATAATACTATCAAAAGGAGAAAGGTTATTATAAAGGATCACCTTGGAGAAGATAGACTGATGAGTGCGACAAGAAATAGTTGTAAAGTAGTATGTGATTAATGTAAAACATGAATAAGTAATAGAATTGGTTCGGCTCGACGTGCCATTGTAGCAGATAAAACTACTGTACTGTCGTTTCTAAAAGTATTTTTTTTTCTTTTTCTTTATTTTTTTTTAAAAGGGGGGGGGGCGGAGGGTAATTAGAGCAATTTTTTATTTGTTTTGTATGTTTGTTTGTTGTTGTTGTTGTTGTTGGGGTTTTTTGCTGTCTTGTTGTTTCTGTTATTATTGTTATTGTCTGTGCTATTGTTAATTATGAAAGTGTTTTAGCACGTTATAAGTGGAACTAAATGAAAGGTTTGCATTCGAAAAGTCAACACTATCTGTGTAGTAGGATAGATTTCAAAAACAGTTCATCATAAAAAAGCCAATTAATGAAAGTAATAACTCTGTTTTAACCTTTAGAAACCTTTGTTCACTGTCATTTTATTTTCTGTTCCTCTCACCCCAAAAATTAATGTAGTTTCGGAAAATATGCAGCAATGCCAAAATGATTCGAAATTTCATTTCACGAGTTATACAGTTACAAGATGTTGTAAGAAAAGGTGCTGAAATTTATGGAGCGACCTTGGGAATCCTTGCACTATCTCATATTAAATTAATCGTTTTATTGCTGATGGTTGGAGTGCGCTTTTAGTAGGTCCTACTTTGTCCCTTTCCCTATGCTGTTTATGTCTATAAATGTTGCTTCTTTTCTGCTCTATTAGACTGTAAGTATGTATAATATTATGTGCTTCTCTTTATTCAAACTCAACCCCGTTTTATTGAAAAGATCAGTCAGCGTTTTCTTTTGGAACTGTACTCACGGAATGCCAGCGTAGTTGAAGATCATGCGGAACAACTCTGCCGTGCCTCTCCGCTCCCGAGACACGATTTTGAACTTTGTGAATCCGAGGAACTGTGTTCTCTGTGGGGAGAAGAGGGAATAGTTGTGTGTTGTGTAATATGTTGTCTTTTCTGATGTTGTTTGTTGTTGTTGTTGTTGTTGTTGTTGTTGTTGTTGTTGTTGATGGTGATGTATTGTTGTTGTTGTTGTTGTTGTTGTTGTTGTTGTTGTTGTTGTTGTTGTTGTTGTTGTTGTTGTTGTTGTATTGTTGTTGTAGTTGTTGTTGTTGGTGTTGTTGTTGTTGTTGCTGTTGATGGTTGTGCTGTTATTGGTATTAATGAAGACGATGATGCTGTTTTTGTTGTTGTTGTTTTTGTTGTTAAGGTTGATATTGTTGTTGTTATTGTTGTTGCTGTTGATGATGATGGTCGTGATGCTGTTGGTATTAATGAAGATGATGATGATGATGTTTTTGTTGTTGTTGTTATGGTTGATATTGTTGTTGTTGTTGGTGGTGGTGGTGGTGGTGGTGGTGGT